CTGGGTCTCCCCGATCAGACAGGGAGTCAGGGCGGTGTGGAGCCTGGCCATCAGACCCAGAGCTCCCGAGCCAGGAATGCATTTCCTCCCTGGAGTTTCCCTCGGGAATTGGACCAGCTGCCCCCAGTAGAGCCAACATGTCTCTGGATGAAGTGTCCCCATTGCGTCCTGGCCCCCTCCTTCCCTGGCCTCTCCTTCCAAGCCCCGCTCTGGCCCCCTGGCCCCCTGGCCCTGCTGTGGGAGCCTACACCTGTCAGGAGTGTCTTTTCAGGAATGGGGGCGGGCCGGGTGCCATGAAGCCAGTGTGGGTTGTTACTCTTTGGTGGGCACTGCTGCTGGTGCGCAGGCTGGGGGCCACCAGGAAGGGATACCCAGAAGAAGCCTCTTTCTACTACGGAACCTTCCCACTTGGTATGTCCATTCCTCTGTTGGTCTGTCTGTCTGTCTGCCCGTTTGTCCACCTTGATTGGCTTGCCAATGAGTTTGTTTTGCTTCCTCACAGTAGGATGGGAATGGAACTCCATACAGTTGTATTAAAATAAAGGAAGTTCTTAAAAGACTTTTTTAAAGTTATTATATAGATAGCCAATGTTAATCAGAGCTAAAATTGTGCAAATAAATGTTTTCAGTGTATTGTATCTTCTCCCAGCCCGCCCCACATGCTCCTGCTCCTGGGGAGACAGGGGCAGGCTGCTGGGGAGGGGCCAGCCCTGTGGTCCAGGAGGCACAGCCTAGAGTCCTGGCAATGGGTGGGCTGTGGGAGGGGGCCCAGGGCCCAGCATGGGGTATCTACTTGCAGGCTTCTCCTGGGGCGTGGGCAGTTCTGCCTTCCAGACCGAGGGTGCCTGGGACCAGGACGGGAAAGGGCCCAGCATCTGGGACACCTTCACGCACAGCGGGAAGGGGAAGGTGCTTGGGGATGAGACAGCAGATGTGGCTTGCGATGGCTACTACAAGGTCCAGGTGAGTGATGGGAGGGTGGGTTTGTGCATGAGTGTGTGTATTTGAGCAGGCACCTCGCTGAGAGGCGGGCAGTGACAGACTGAGGGGGCCCAAGTGGCAATGCCAATTCAGTGCTCGGCTTGACACCTCCCTCCCCAGAGCAGCCCACAGGGGCGGGGCCAGTGGTGCTGAGATGGGCGGGATTGGCAGGC